TACTGCTAGACAAAAAGGCTGAGTTACAGATCATAAATGTACTTAGAATGGCAAATAAGAAGATAGATTTATTTTAGGAAATAATGCCTTGGGATACAATATATAGTTTGGGACATGACAAGGACATGACATGCAAACCCGTTCTGATGAAGGGTCGCCGGCCTGAAATGTTGACTCATTTTCCTTTCTCCATAGATGCTGCCTGACCTGTTGAGTGTTCCTAGTGACTTCTGTTTTTTTGCAGATTTCCAGCATTTGCAGTATTTTGCGTTTAGAACATTGAATTTGGTTCTGTGCAATAGAAAGTATTGTTTAAGAATTTTCCAAATTCTGTATGCTGCATGCAGCATTGTCGGAGGTGTCATCCTTTGGATGAGAGGCTGAAATGAGGTCCCATCTATGTTCTGAGGAAAAATCATGGACCCGAAACGTTGACTCACTTTCCTTTCTTCACAGATGCTGTCTGACCTGCTGAGTTTTCCCAGCTCTCTCTGTTTTTGTTCCCCATCTATCTGTTCATTTGGACATTAAAGATGCATGACACTATTTGAATAGAAAAGGTCTCCCATTATCCTGGCCAACAAGGATGCAATTATTCATTCCTATTGTGCCTGTTTGTGTATCATGTGCAAATTGGCTGTCATGTTTACCTACAAAAACAGGTCACTACATTTAACAGCAATTACCTGTAAAGTGCTTTGAGACATTTCTAAAACTTGGTTCTATAGCACAGGCAAACATTATTATTATTATTTTACTTTGTTCCCTGATAATTTAATTCATAATGTAATGTTAAGCATCTTTAAAACAATCAAATTTAAAGGACCCGGGTTTGATTACCGGGCGGAGCAAAACCTTAGGCAAGTTTCCTTCAGCACCTTGGGACGTCCTCCCAACACGAAAGACGCTGTACAAATGTCATTTTGTTGTTGTTGTTACTCCACACAAGTTACTCCACTTGTTACTGTTTGCCTAGCAATAAAGTAGGAACTGCTTGTTAGTTGATTGGCAGAACATTTTCTGGGAACATTAATTCCTTCAAAAATACTAATAATTTGGTCATGACTGTTTGTGGGACACTGCTGTGTGCAATTGGCTGCCATGTTTCGCCCACAAAATACACAGTCACTACACTTTACAGTGTATTCTATGAAGCGCTTTGAAACGTTTCGACGATGTGATAAGACGCTATATCAAATGTAAAGATTATTATTATTTTATTATAATGCAGCTACGACTTCCAGAAAAAGCACAAAAGATAAACATCTAGTTTACTGTGAATATTATTTGAATGCATTTTAAATCATTAAATCAAATCTGTATCTGTTTCTCAGCATGTTGAAAATTGTCAGTGTCTGTAATCTGTACAGCCAAAGAAAGGATCATGAGAGGCTTAATTGATCAACTGAGAATATTTAACCCATTTACTCATCCAATTGAATTTCAAATATGATTTCTGAGATTTCTGAGTTATGATATCAGAAATGTATTACATTACAACCACAGTTGGGTTGGAGACCATTTATAGAGGCAACCTCTATTAATTATTAACATTTACATTAATTCCCTCAGCACACTTTAGCAGAAGAATAAGAGGACGGAGCCTGAACACTGTCCGCTATGTAATATTACCCAGGGTTTCACACTCAAATAGGAAAGGTATCACTAGAATTTCAGGTTAGTGAAGGAGGAAGAAGACAGATGCTCACTTTTGTTTGGCATGGGCCCATTAACCTTTACCACACAAAGTTATTTTTAAGATAAGTAAATCCTAAGAGTTAATTTTATACCAGCTGAAAACCTGCCAAATTAAATATTGTCTAATCAATCACAGTACATCGGTTGTGGCTGCCTGCAGAGAAACTGTAGAACGTTGGTAATCGTCTGTGCTGTTTCCATTAGGGAAGGTCAGAAAGTCATGGAAAATTGCATGCAGTTTGATTTCCAATTCTGTAGAGGAATACTTTTCGGTTCTAGACAATACTCATTACAATGTATTTTTCACATGTTTGAATTGCTTAGCAAAATAGTTGAAACCAAAGCATTTCAACCCTGAGTACAGTCGAATTGATAAGATAAATAATTCACTGTATGTAGAATATTTAGAAAATGTTATTTGATCACTCAAACTACTATCATAGAATCATAAGATTATACAGCACAGAAGGACACCATTCGGCTCATCGTGTCTCTGCCGGCTGTTTGAAAAGAGCTATCCAATTCAATCCCACTCACCCGCTCTCACCCCATAGACCTGCAAACTTGTTCTCCCCAACCACTAACCACAGATTCACAAATCAATGACACTAACTGAATTATCTCATTCCAGCATTCGTGGAAAAATTGATGAAACTTGCATTTGATTTGTTGCCACATAGACCAGAATAGACTTTCCCGGTCCCTATGTACTCATGTCAAATACATTTAAATTGGTGATTTATCTAAATGAAGAATAGATCGCACCAGGGACCAGAACAATGTCCTTTCACCTGTTAAAAGGAATTAGGACTCTGTAGAGAGGCTGTGAAAGCTGAGCATATTCATACTGGAGTTCTGTAGCTCAGTGGCTTTGGGATGTCCTCCCGACGTGAAAAGCGCTATATCAAATGCAAGGATTATTATTATACTGGAGAAGAGAGGCTCAGGGAAGATCTGATCAACATATTTAAGATCCTACCAGTACATTGAATTCTGATAATATGTTTAACAGTGCCACACATTTCTACAAAGAGGGATGGATGGACCTCAGAAGAAGAGAGATAAACACAATTTAGATTCAAATAGTTTATAGAGAGAGATGGATATATTCAACGCATTACTCAAGAAGGATGTAAAGGCAGACTGGGAACTCGCATTCAATTTAGTTAAGAAATTGATTGAGGTATATGAGAGAGAATAATAAATCATTTTCCTTCACTTTAGGCCTGGCCGGATAGTTTGAAATGATCGTTTCCGGACTTGCATGTTCTTAGGTAAAAGGACTAACTTCAACCTATACCTTGTGACTAGATAAGGACTTATTCGTATGTACAAGTTAACAATTTACATCATAATTCACTATCAACTTTCGTCAGAGATGTTGATCAGAAGAATACAAGATGTCATGTCAATTGTTGGCTGCGCGTCAGTGAGCAGAATGTCTGAAGGCAATATAATGTTTCAGCTCAGGTCAAAGGAAAAATAGTTATTCTGTGTTCTTCTCCGTATCTTACATATGTACTTTCCGTTAGCCACTTGAAGACAAAGTGCCTGAACTAGACCTGAATATGCCTGTCTTTTATTGAAAGTTGTTGGAATATTATGCTTGAAGTGCTCCAGATGTTACTCAATGTGAAGGGCGCTATTTAAATGTAACTTGTTGTTGATTAACCCATATTATTATGTGGCCTTTAGGAGAGAGGAAAAACAGAAAAGGAGCAAGGTCAAGAGAAGGATACAACTAAGGCAAATATGAAACTTTGAAACTTAAAGAGTCAAGCATTCATTGGAACATCAGTGTAACAAACTCTTGACATTGACTTGTGACAAATGTATAATGAGTTTCACCTAAGTATACATCAGAGACAGGTAAACATTTAAATGTAATCCATCTCTATAGAAGTTATGTTACATTACTTTTAAGAATATTATTTCACAATCTACATTCACAAAATGTATACTTACATCAGAAAGCAAAGGTCCTCAATGTATACTCTTGAAAGTGTACTCTATTGTGAACGTATCATAAAAATGATAGTCCTGATCTTTTGATACACATTACAGGTTACATTCGAATCATGCAATCATGAGTAATTGTTGAAAGTAAAACATGGTGATTCCAAACAAAACTATCTGCTGTTTCATGGTAGTTTGTTGCATACACACATTAAAAAAATTCAGCTTCATGTAGGAATTTGCCAGCTTGTATTTTCATGACAGAATAGTGATGAACTTGGAATGTAGTGAGTCTGCTCTCATACCATTTTATTAAGTCCCACCCTTTTATTTTCACACAGGCCTCACTTGACTCCTAGCCTCAGTGCTGGTTATGCACCAATTCATTCCAGCTCTTTGCCTCATTTGACTATGTTGATGACCTGATGAATAATCAGAAGTTTATGTATGTGGTAATGTATGTTTCCTCACAGTATTTCAACACACTGCTGCCAAGTAACATTTTAGTTTGTTTGACGTTGAGATTTGATGGTGATTATTTCAAAATGTGTCGATTGCATACAAGCAGGATTTCGTATGATGAAAGCTGTGCCAAATCAAACTCAATTCCATTTACAGTGCAATAAGTTGAGAGTGTTATTGCTGCCATCTATCAGCTTTGGTTGGAATGTTGGATAAGATGGATAAATATCAAAGTGTTCATGGCATATGATAATTGTCAATCACAGAATATATTATTGCTGATTTGGGTTATAGTAAAAGATAAATTTGCATTTCTCCAGCGTGACTTTTCTTCAGTGTGACGTTGATGCAGAACTGAAACTAGGAGTCAATTGAGACCCGTGTGAAAATAAAAGAATGTGATCTAATGGTACGAAAGCAGACAGTCCATTCCAAGTACCTTCCTATAGCCTCTTCTCATAAGTCAAGAGCTTAATTCCAGCTATTCAATTTAGTTGCCCTTCACTCTGCTCTCCCCAATGTCAGGATGTGCCTTGTATAATACAGCAACCACAGTGATACACAGTATTCTAAGTGGGATTGGACTAATGCTCTGCATGAGTTCAGTATTATTTTTTTAAAGGAATTATTACCCCTGGAAAAGAAAAGGTAAACAGAGGCGTGTGGAGTAAGGAAACTTGCACAACATTTCGCCCTGCAGGGAATCGAACCCAGGTCTCTTGCTTGTGAGGCGAGTGCTCTAACCGCTGAGCTACAGGCCTCCACATGAGTAAAATATAAAATGTTTAGGTGAAAAAGGACCAAACAGGTCCTTTAAACAGGTTTATTAAAATAAATACAAAATCCAGATTTACATATAGAAATAATCACAATTTAATTTCATACACTTAACAGCAATAAATAGAATAATTCATTACAAAATCCTAGGTTGCTATGAAAAAGAATTGTATCGTTATTAAAAACTATGATACTAAACTACTGTTACTTTATAATTTATAAATTCCTATAAACATCACTGAATGTAGAGTTACAAAGCAGCAGTGCTATTTCAAAACAATCAAGAAGCGACAGAAATAAATAATTCACCAATATTAAATATTATAAAAAGACATTTTGTGTTTGACCGTGAGAGGCAAGAGATTAGCGTAGGCCCATATTACCCAGATTTGACACCCTGTTTTTTTTACCAGATGGGGTCATGTTTCAAATTAAATGGGTTAAACATTCTAGCTGAATTTGACAACTGCTCGCCCTGTAATTATATAAATCAAACTATGAATGTAGACTAGCCCATCCTTTTTATAGGAACACACTTCTACCATTTACATTTACACAGTGGTCAACAACAACAAAAAGTGTGTGCAATTATATCACGCCCTTCACATAGTCTCTTATCTCAGACAAACACCATCGAACAAGATATAGTTTCAAATGTGTATTTTGACATTTATTTCCAGATGAGAAAGTTACCTTTAGTAAAGTTATACTGATTTCACCCTTTTATAAATTGACAAGGATACTGGTTAAAAAAACAGGAGCTCAACAGCCTTCAAAAGAGATAAAATGTCATAGAGGCTTTATAGAGGTATAATACATTTTAAACAGGATTGAGAAATAAACCCAGAATAATACTTTCAGAATACACCAAAGCAACACAAGGTTGCAAAGGCAAGTTCAGGACAAAACTAGGAAATAACCAGCAATAATTGGTGCATTTTGTACAAACTGTTATACATTACATTATTAAATAGTTGCTTGGAGTCATCATTTATCAATATCAAATACATAATATACACAGTGAAGTTGGCAAGAATTTATATTAGAAGCTTTCCTTTATCTCATAATATCCTATTTTGGGTCTGAATAAATATTTCAAGGAACTACACTTTATTAAGTGCAATTAATGCAAGTGTTAGGCATTTACCAGACCGTTTCATGTGTAACAGAATTATTGTGTCCATTGAAATACCAATATCAGGAACTGTGAAAAACACTAATATCCTGTAAATTCCAATTCCAGATGTTGTTTCCAAAAATCTACTTACATTCTTTCTGTGACCAAACTATGCTTCTAGATTTCAAAATCCAGAAACCTCATTACTGTTCCGTACTTGCTCACTATAAGGCAACGAATGCAGCCTAGTCCTGGACACTAAGATTTAAAATTGATTTACTGTTCTATTTTTAAACATGGTATCCACTAACTAGTTTCAAATCAATACGATACACATTCAGGTCATTATATTTCATTAAAACAGCCTTGTAGCTCAAATGCAAACATTATTTTCTTCCAACCTGAAACAAATAAGCTAAAATAAGCTACATTTGATAGTAAACATTTGTCGTATATACTTATAAATGTAGCAGCAATTATTGAAAGTTACAAAACATTACACTGTGTCACATTGGGTAAAATTCTATTTGTCTGGTTCTCAAATCTACCTTTATAGCTAGACTTTAAAATACGCGACTAAATGGAACAAAACATGAATAAATGGGTCGGCAAAAAAAGCCCATGAAATAACACACCCATTTGGATACATTCGACAATTCTACCCTTTTAAAATGGTTTCCTTATTATTCTAGACCAAATCCCTCGGCGTTGGAGATGGCAACAGTTAGCTTTTGTTTGAGTTTTTTTTTGCTTTGATAGGGAGGTAAACAAAGCTGATTGAAACAGGTATGTGCTACTGGTAGCCTGCAAAGACAAGAAAGAACAGTTACAAAACTCATACACTACAAACAAAACATTATGAAATCTTTGCTTTCTTTTTTACTAACTAATTAAGAATCTGATTAGGTTTATATCTGTTTAGTATGTGCTACAAAAGCAGTAGAGGTTCACCTCCTGCCTTGCAGAGTCACCTGAATAGTGCTTCCTCTGTCCCCTCCTTTTCTTCATTTACATTCTCCCTCTTACCAATACCATTCGCAGACACAGAGTTAATTTCTACATTGACGCTCAAAGTAAATGACGCTCAAATTTACTTCTCCACCTCTGCTCTTGATTCCGGGTCCACTGATATTCTGACTGCCTGCCTTACATCAGGCTCGGATGAGCTTCAATTTCATACAGTTTAACCAGAACAAGATGAATGCCATCTTTCTTGGCTCCCACCTTTGGCACCTCACTTCTAGCTCTGACCTCCTCAATCTCTCTGACCTTACCCTCAAACTCACTGAACGAGTGAGGAACGTTGGCATTTGGTTCAATCCTCAGCTCTCCTTCCTTCTTCACATACATTCCCTGACCTGCTTTTTTCCACCTTCACCACATTGCCCACCTCTAGCCCCATACACCAGCAAAACTCACATCTTTGTTACTTCTCGGCTAGACTATTTACAACGCACTCTTCACTGACTTCTAAGCAGCCAAACCTTATGCAGCATGGATTATTATACCAGTTACTGTATTTCCTCATCATAAGTGCAATACAAACTACAGCTGAGACTGGATCCTGAGCAGTTAGCTGGTTCAAGTGATGTGAAAGTTAAGTAATCAAATGTCATATATGATAAAAGCAGTGAAGCTAAAATGATATCTAACCACAGTTACATATCACTTAAGGGAAAGAAGAGTCTAGGGGGAATACTTTAGTACTTCTAGATGTTACTTGCACTTTAATAACCTATGTTGTTTGGCAGCAAAGAATCCTTTTCAGAAGTAGAATAGTTCATCACCAATGAAGTTTTATGGGGATAGGGGATCGTGTGATTTCACTCAACAGAACAAAACAATCACAAATGTTATGAGTGTTTCACTCCATGCAAGTAAAACAGGTTACATCCCTTAAAGGCATCTTACCAATCAATGGACACATCAATCTTAGAGATTTTGAAACTAAGGTCAGCCAGTCCTCCGACAGGAACTCGATCACTTCCTGTGGCAAAGTGCAAAAGCTGCTTCTGGAGCTCGAGACTGAATCCTAAAACTATATCCCAGAAATACCTATCGAAGAAAGATGGGAACATTAACTGCAGTATACATTACACTGATCATTATTTAGACAAACAACGAAGCATTATAATTACCCACAATAATTGGTGTCTTGTAAGCTGTGATAGAACATTTGTTTACAGATCCTGCATTAATGAAGAAACACAATAAAACCTCTACTGCACTTCCTTTACTATTATCAGTTATTTAATACAGTAGCATCTTTTAAAGCTACATGAAGAGCATGTTCTGTATTACCAAGTGCATAATCGTAACTTGCAGTAGCTACCTTATCCAAACTACATATACAGTATACATATATTATACACACATTTGTATTCATACAAGCATGCACATATATATATATACATACACATAAAAATGCCCTTGGGTTGAATATTCTTTTAGGTTACATCAACAAGTATGCGGGCTATCCACATGTGTTGCGTTTACACAAACATTTAGTCACTTGTCTGATAAATCTGAGATTTATATTCCCTCATTTGTCTGGGGATTCTTATACAATTTCAAATTCAAGACTTTTAACAGTTTAGTGATTGTGACATTACTCAGTTATGGACATGGAGACCCACAGTACCTTTGCAGATACTTCTTTCAGTTACACTTCCACCGACTTTCTTGATAGTCTGGTTTTTACTTAGTGATAAAACAGGGAGGGACAGGAATGATTGGAATGCCAACAAAGAAAGACTGTACCAAAAAAGTTAGAGGAAACGTTTAATATTTTTGAAAATAGTCCAGCTTCAAAACACAAACTATAAAACTGCTCTGGACGACAACAGCTGATAAACTGGAAGCTGCAAAGATCATCCTGCTTATGTTACCTGTGGCACTACTTCATATTTGAACTGAAGTTCTGGCAGCTGAACAATGGCATTGAAGAGTAAAGGCCACATTTTTAAATAGTGATTACTGCAATGACCTTGCCTTCATTTAACCTTTGAGATAAGACAACTGAACAGCTGAAAGCAATAGGTTGCAAAGCTCCAAGTTGTTTTTCAACACCTAAAGTAACCTGTGTCTCGACCCTGTTATATATATCCTGTGAGATATATCAGTAACACTTTATCTATAAAGTACACACTTAAAATTAAATAATAACCTTTAGATAAATTTCAATCATACGTCTATGTAAGATATAATGTGTGGGGATCATATAACGATCTTTGTATATTATTGCATACTAAAATCATATTTCTTAGCCAATTTGTTGTAAAAAAAACAACTTCAATATTTTACTGATTTCACTTCGCTTTATACACGTTAAAAAATAAATGAATTGTCAATTAACCTAGACGTGTAGTATTATACATCAAAGATGAGTTGATGCGTGATTAGATTCAGAACAAGGTCCCTCGTCCCAACAAAACTGCTTCACTTTCCCCTTCTCCCTGCCTCTTTCATCTGTGAATTGTCAAGATAATGATAGTTCTGTACTGTAGGACCTGTACCAACAAGAAACCAGTTTGAGCCTAGCATACCAAGCGAGGGAACCCAGTGATTCACATCTGCCATGATTAGACTGTAACATGTAGTAATTGCAATGCTCCTGAACAAGCCTCCTCTAGGTTTGGTTAAAAGTGTAGCTCCAACTCGATTTGTGCTGACTGAGATACCATCAAGATCACTGCCAACATGTTCTGATTGACCACCAAGCTTGAGCTTTTCTATCGTGCTACGGTTACGGTTACCCACACTCCTCAGTAGAAGTGAAATGACTATAATTTTGTTCTTTTAAGTATGGTGCATGACTACTTACATCATTTTGACAAGTGCTCTGCAGGACTTAAGCTGAAAGTCAGAGATAAACTAGGAGAGGACTTTACAAATAAGTTTGATTGACTATTCTGATTCTTACAATATCAATTCTATGGTACTTGCTAAATATTTTAACACATTTTCTAAACACATACTTTTATATCACATTCTAGTGGTTCGTATTTACAATCTAATTTACAATACTTATGATTCAATACAAATTTGTTTACCTGATTGTAGGGTCCACCTTAGAGTAACCCTCATACTGTGTAACCTTCTGCAGAGCGTACATATCTAGCTCAGGGCTTCCACATACAAGGATTTCCACTTCCTCTGGGCGAAGCAACTGCAGAGAAATCAATTCCTTATTTGCTTTGTGTGTGTTTCAATGCAAATTAAAACATTTTTTCCTGAAGTTCCAATTAAAACATCAACCAAGCTTAAACATTAGGAACAGTGAAGTATGATAGAATCCTATGGCTCATTCGGACTGGAGTCTTGAAGAAAGTTTATGCAATTTTCTTATTTGTATAATTGATGAATATATTCTCATACTGCACTTCAAATATATACAAGACACTGTCCATCCTTAAAATCAGGATTCTTCCATTTCATAGTACAGATACTTTAGCAACTTCTTAATTTACACATCGTGACTTTCACAATGTTTTTTTTACAAGCAGTGCTTTTCACAATTATTGATACAGAAAATGCAGCGTTTGAAAGAAAATAATTCAACAATCCTATTTAGGATCCAATATATTTTTGAGCAGTGCAATCCCAAACTGAACCGTTCAACTACAAGAATTTGTATTCAGCGACCCAGGGACATTAAATATCCTTCAGATTTAAAAGTGGAAAGTCCAAATGTACAATAATTTATGGTGGCAAATCTACAATTTTCACAGCTTGATCATCCAGGATTACTTCTTATGCTATTTTTAAAAACTGAAACATTGCTTGTACAAAACATGTTTAAATTGAATCAAGAAAAATAAAACAAGAACAAGTTTGAATGTTTCCATTAAAAAAAAGTAAATAACTGAAAGCAAATAACTTTGCGAAAACTCTCATGTAAAATAACAGTTGACTGCTAGTTTGGAATAAAATTTCAAAATACTCATAAAATTAAAAGTTTCTTGTAAAAAACAATGTCCCATTAAGACATTACAATAATTACACTGCAGATATGTGAACCTTTGAATGTGAATCGAGAGGACAGATGAATGAAGAAAGCAAACAAGAGCATTAAAAAAAAAACTCAGCTCAAATCACTTTGAAAAATCAAAAAATTGTCCCTTCAAAAAAAATAATAATTTGGTCAGTCAATCCACAACTGGTTGTAGGACACTGCTGTGTGCAATTGGCTGCTTTGTTTCGCCCACAAAATATACAGTCAATTCACTTTACAGTATATTCTGTGAAGCGCTTTGAGATGTCTCAAAGACATGATAAGGCATTATATTAAATACAAGTTTTTTTTAATATTACAGAACATGCTCTTAATTTTGTGGCATCTGTATGTGCAGTAATCTAAATGTCCTAGGACCAGTCGCTAAGACACACTGTACTACACTATTTGGTATAGGAACAATATAATATTTAAACATAAATATTATTGTGCTGAATAAAATATAACATTTTCAAAATATGCCCCAATAAGACTGATTTATACTTGAGACTAATGCTTTATTTTCCAAAAAATTGAGTCAATTAAAATAGATCATGACAGCAGAATACAGAAGTGATGACAAGTGATAGTATTGTTAGAAAGGACCTTACCATTAAAGCATTGGAGGCGCATACGCTATGAAACCCAAAATAGAAGGATGCAAATTGCTTGTAAACAGACTTGTTGAGAAGAAAGTCCACATAAAGATGTACATATTCTAAAAAAAAGAAGCATTCTGTATTTCTGGAAACACATTTCTTCATAATATGATTATATATAAAAGATTCTAGTTTTATTTAACTGGGATTATAGCTATGTTGACTCTTACCACATATTTAGCAAGTGTATGGAATTAGTTTTACTTATAACCCCACTTTAGTAGAATTTTAACTGAACAGATAATTATCAAAAAAACATATTTAGTTATTTAGTGAACAAATGAAATAATTCAAAGACTACATTAACTAAACAATGCAAAAACATTGAAAACTATTACAACCCTTTGTGAAAAATACCCTGAAACTTTGAAAATGTTACGTACAGGTTTCAGTATCTGAATGAATAAACAAAACCTTTATTCAGTTAGCAATATAATGTGCTATTGTCCAGAAGAGAAGTATCTGCTTGCCTTTTCTGTTCTGGTTAGTCACAGGGATTCTGTCGCCTCCAGGTTTGAGGATATATGATTTAATAGTTCCAAACTCTTCTTGAAGTACCTGAAATAAAAATAGGATAAAAGCATTTTTTTCTCTTCACTGAAACATTGTAGAATACACCAGGATCTATAAGTACAGCTAACAACAAAGTCATTCACAGTGATTTAAAAGAAGAGGAAATGCCTGATTAAAAGGTTTTGTTTTTAACAAAACTATTCATCAAAGTCAGAAAATCATATATTTTATTTACCACGGTTTGTCTGCAAATGTCCCAGCATTTAAACAAAAATACTTATTGCTCCTTCATTTGACCAGATGGGATACAGTGTATATAAATAAATACATAAATAAATAAACAGCTTTACTGTAAGGACACAAAAACAATTCAAAATAAAATGTACCTGAAATGTGGAACAAAAGTCTTCCTCAACGTTTCCTTCATAAGTCATAAGTTCCATCAGCCCATGAGCTAAATCCTTCAAATTAGAAATAACCTGATTAGTTTACAAAGTATACTTTCTTTATGCTTCAAGATATCCATCATTATATATATTATATATATCAGAGTCACTATCAAAATAATAATCCTTGCCTTTGATATAGCGCTTTTCACGTCTTCCAGAATTCTCAAGTGCTTCACAGAATATACTGTGAAGTGAATTGACTGTATATCTGTGGGTGAAATGCAGCAGCCAATTGCGCACAGCAGTGTCCCACAAACAGTCGTGGACTGAAGTGACCAATTTTATAATTGTTTTTTTTTCTTGAGGGATTATTATTAGGAGTGTGGAATGAGGAAATTTGCCCAAGGTTTCATAGCAACCAATAACACGATAATATAAAGAACCACAGATGTATAAAAATTTATTTTAAAAAAACTTAGCTTCAGACGTCACAAAAATATACAATTTATAAGAAGGGAGAGGTAATCTTAAGGAGGACATTTTCTTCACATTGGAAGTTACAGTAGGTTTAGAAAGAGGCCATGTCTGTTTGAATTTTTAAGGCACAATTGTGACATTACTTTGGGAGTCCTGTAGCTCAGTGGTTAGAGCACTCGCTTTGCAAGCGAGAGATCTGAGTTCAATTCCAGGCAGGTCAGGGCAAAACCTTGGGCAAGTTTCCTTACTCCACACGCCTAATAATAATCCCTCCAAAAACCAAAAACAATAATAAAAATTGGTCATTTTCAATCTACGATTTATTTGTGGGACATTGCTGTGCGCAATTGGCTGCCGTGTTCGCCCACAAATATACAGTCAATTCACTTTACAGTGTGTTCTGTGAAGCGCTTTGGGACGTGAAAAGCGCTATATCAAATGCAAGGAGTATTATTATTATTATTATTACAGAAAAGCTGGCCACAATTCAACATGATGCTTGTGTTAAGAAATGCATATCCTGCTCCTCTTGGCTCAGCACAAGTGAAGCTGAGCTCTGTGATAACATTAAATACGCTGCCCATGCTAATGTTAAATACACTGCTCTTGCTGCTCAGATTTTTGTGCACTTGCTGCAGTTAAAGACTGCAATTATACAATAATGTGAAGGAATCTATAATGGCCTCCCCGGATGATCTTGTGTCGGGGAAACTGGAAGAGACCCAGGGATATTGGTTGATTCTTTGCTCACTATGTCAAAACAGTGCAAGACAGAACAAATAAGACAGACAGGATGTTGAGATTTAATCAGTTGAGGTGAGATCTCCAGGGGGCATGCACAAGCTATTCAGTCTTGCTGCACCTTGACTACTGTGTATAGTTTTGGTCTCCATGATGTAAGTAACTAGGATTCCAGGAAAGGTGGTCAAGGCCAGAACACTGGACTCATTTAAGAAACAGCTTAATGCCATTATGGGAGGATGGTAGGGTGGATATTCTAGGAAAATGAGATCAAATGGGCCGTAGGACCTTCTTCATCTGAACCTTTTGATCAACTTCCTGTGCAGCAGGTGATACCAGGGATCCCTATTGTGCATAGGGCACAGGAAATGACATCAATGGCAATTTGATGACTCAGAAGCCTTGTCCAGAGCCATCATTTGGCATGTTCCACTATAATGTGGTATCTCAGTTTATGGACCGAAACCACAATGTTATAATAGGATTGACCTGTGCTCTGGTCAATAAGGTACAGATCTGCATCCTAATATCCCATTTGTCCTTTTTCTAAAATGCAAAACTTTACAATTACCAATGTTGCATTTTATTTACCTTCTACAGTAAGTATAAATGGACAATGGAATAATTTCAAACATCTGTGTAAGAAATATGTTGCATCACGGATCCTCTTTTGAAAAAATAAACTTACTGGCATGACCTGGTGCAGGTCATCAAGTGTAAGCAATGCAACTCCAACAGGAGTGTTCTGATCACATGGAACTACAGGAGGGCTCAACAGTTTTTTGTAGCAACATGGTGGAAACCGAATATCCAATGTGATGCTATTGTACACAGCCAGACCCATCAGCTCAGAGACTAAAAGTTAAGATAAACAAAAAGACATGACAAAGGCAAGTGTAACCCTTAAAACAAATTTGAAGGTCTCCAATATTATATTTTGAGAATCATAATTTCACAGGAACCAAAATATTACTAAACATATTGGATTTCCAAATATCAAAGCTACAAACTCGATTGCTCCCCAATTGTTTCTGTGCTTGGAACTGGCAGTAACAAAAAAAGCATTAAAAAATTTTAAAAAATTAATGAAAGCATTAGCTAAAAAAGCAAAACATCGGTTCAAAAAGAATTGTTGAAAAATCACAACTGAAAGACTCGGATATAAACGCAGTAGGGCACCTTTGCACAGTATAAGTAGAACATTTCGTGAACAGAGACGATGCAGATTGTAATTCCAGTTAAATGTAGAGACTGAAACGTCTACAATTAGACATTTTTCAATAACAAAAATAGTGTAGAAACAGTAGAATGTGAAGCAACTTCATAAAAATAGTGATTCTATTTACTTTCTTTGAGCTCCTACAAGTGGTCATATGGTGCATTGGCATATAAAGTGCAAAGGATACAGCTCCAACCAACCGAAATTCAGAGTAGTTTTCACACTTAAAGCTGCTGAACCAGTAACATCGGGAATCCCATTGATATGCAAACATACCTGTTCAATAAGGAAATGTAGGGAAATATGTACAAGGTACTTTACAATTTTATAAATATGGAGTACAAAAACTGCTGTATAATTCTGGGGCAGAGGGATCTCCTACAATTCTGTAATTTATCTCCCAGTTTTGATCAAATGTAAGGATTATGAATTTTATTGTGTATTTAGTCAGTAAGGATTCTCCCTCCACCACTACCACTTCTTGTTTTGAAAGAAAATGGTTTATACTGCACCAGATTATGGTTTTGTTTATTGATAAATACAAATACATTGTTTATCTGTTCAGCAGATAAACAAGTTCCTGCTCCATATCTCCTGCCCAACCCACCCTACCATCAGTGGCCGGGCTTTCAGCCTCTCTGCCCCCACCCTTTGGAGCTCCATCCCACAATCCCTTCACGTTGCTCCCTCCCTTGCCTCCTTCAAAGGCAAGACTCAAAACCCTCCTGTTTGAACCTGCCTTCAGCTGCCCTCCTAACTCTTTGTCCTCGTACCTCCTACCCTTCAACCCAACCCCTGCCCCCCCACACTCGGGTCCTGATCCCTGACTGTAGGCACCTTGGAACGTACTACCGACATGAAAGGCGCTTTCCGAATGTAATTTTGTTGTTGCTTTTGTCATATTCATAGTACAGACCACTTAATAAAAAAATCCATTCAACATTTCCTTAAAAGTTATATGACAACACAGTTATTTCTCCCTTTCCCAGCCAGGTTAGAGATTTTTTTTATTTAGGTACCACATGAACACTCCTTTCCCCCCACTGGCCATCTGAAGTTCTTACGTTGCAGAACCTTACCATAGTCAGCCTGGAAAATCTGTCGAATAAGCAGAAGAAACCACTCTTTTGTGAGACCACCCATGTCTAATCCAGCTTCGCCAACAAAGGTGACTTTTAACTTTTTTTTCAAATCTGCCCTCTTTCTGGTTAACTGCAATTATATAAGATTATATCCCGACTGAAAACAGTCCACATAATGTTAAAATAATCTGAAAAAAATACACGTAGATTTTAGAATAGAAATATAATCAGTAAAGCACATCCAGGTTTGCAACATTTAGCTCTTAATAGTGAGTTTATTACAAGTCTTGATAACAAGAATCATCATTCATCAGGTATTCATTGTCATGTCAAGGTTTCAAGGAGAAAAGGTTTAAGATTCCATATTACCTCGTCCAGCGAGTCGCTAACCATATGCATTCGCCTCACTTCAATGTTGAGGAAAAGCATATTCATGTCTGGTCTCTGTCTGCGAGAGACTTTATCAACCAAGCTTTGCTGCGCAGAAAGGAAAAACAGAATTCCAATTGCACATTACTCAATTTTAAATAATATTTCCAGATCTATGACATAATAATAACTATAAAGTAAATTGTCTAACTTTTATTACAATGAAGATGAGGAGCAGTTATGGGAAAATGACCTTTTCCAATTAATGACCGTTCCCAGTGATCCAGTGCCTGGCAGAATAAACAACAGAAAAAAATTAACAAAATGCAAAGCACTATAGATGCTGGAAATCTGACACAAAAACAGAAGTCGCTGGGAAAACTCAGCAGGTCAGGCAGCATCTATGGAGAAAGTAAAGTGAGTCAACGTTTCAGGTCCACAACCCTTTATCAGATAACAATTAGGGTGCCTTCTATTTTATTTCAGCTCTCCACTGCATGTTTGGTGGTTGATTACCTTTTAATAATATTTTGTCCTTTGAGACTAGCAATTCAGTTTATTATAGTAGAACACAGTTAATCCAATTAACCACTTGCCCATTTATCCTTATCTTTCAATGCACAGGGCAAAAAGAATTGTTGTGAACATGTGGGAAGCTGCATGTGAGTTCCTAGAGATTCTATGCCCTGCTACATCTGTATTTCATGTGATGTCCAATTAGGATGTTCCCAATTAGTGCAGCTAATCATCTCTCTACTATATCACAGCAATTATTGTTCCACTGAGAATTCGTGCCTTCTGGAAGGTGGATCCAGACTGCCCAATCCAAAATTCATTGCACTGACAGTTCAGAAATCAAATGATTATGGATCTATGGAACAATGATGCCACATAACAGCCCAACAATTGGCTAACTCTCCCTTCCCTCCCCTCACACTGACCATTTCCCCCCTGATCGGGTCCTGAACCAACTGTCCAGCACCTTGGGACGTCCTCCCGACATGAAAGGCGCTCTATAAATGGAATCTTGTTGTTGTTTTTGTAAAGCATGAGCAACCATTTAAAGTTCTAATGTCTGCTGAATTCACAACAAATCCACAGCACAACAGTTCGAGAAAATCAACATTCACTGGGACAGAACAAGGTGAAGAAAAATCTAATAACCTAAATATAATACTGAAAAAGATTTATTTATGCTCTTTTGTGATCTAATTGTTGCACTCATTTACCCCACCTACACTGATACTGCTTCACTTCCAGCAAAAGAAAACAATTAGGAAAAATAATTTGTACTCCAAATTACAGTTGTTAGGGGTTGAAGGTCCTCTGCTAAGGGATTGCCCCAAAACATTAAAGGATCACAGATATGTTTGGATGAAGATAGCCCTTTGTTGAATCCAATCGCATCAATTCACATGACCCTGAATTTATGTTACATCAATGCAAAACGATGAGGGACTGCATGAGGAAGCTCTAATGTGATTAACTTTCGAATGGCGTTGCTTTATCCTGTGTTGCAGTGCATGGTTAAAACAAATTGATTCAAAAGCACACAATAATTGCGTCATTAGCTTGATGCTAATCTCTCAATTATTTCCATAAAATTCACTTACCCTTGCTTTCGTGATCATCTGCTGTTCAGAATCTCGCCGAATAATAACTTTCTTAGCTGGTATGGAGAGAATGAATGGGAACTGGCAGAAGGAAAACCTAATTTAACATAACAAAAGTCACAAGTAGAGATTTGTATGTAGACATGTAAAAACCAACAGAAATACTTTGGGCAACCTATTAAAAATACACCATCTTCGTCTATGGTTCTTTGCAAGCTTCCATGTGGAGTAAAATATTCAAACTCCTCGATATAAAGCGAAGTTTGGGTATCATTTTTCACAAAGGAATAGTCAATGTAGAGAGCAGTAATAAACACTGCAAGCTTACCATGATGTACCAACAGAAGTGTTAATCAAAATTCTAATACATAGGAGCCTTTAACAAGTGTAGATATACTGTTGATATAAGTCCAGTTGATAGAAGTCCAAGCTGGTAGCACAGGATTATACTGCAGAACTCACACTTAAACCATGAGAAAGCAAGTCTATGCAGCTGTATTCTTAAACTCATCAGTAAATTTCTGGTTACCATTGTCTGAAACTCTGGTGATATTTTTTTAGTTCTCTAGCCTGGCATTTCCTAAATCATAAAAGCAGAGTGATGTAAATTTGCCTTCTGTTATGACATTCGCTGTCACTTATTTGCAATATTTGTCACTTCTGAAATACATTCAGTTTCACTTTGGAAACACAAATCTAAGCACACAGACATTCAGAAATTAATGAACTGTTATGCTTCTAATGTGCTGAAGGAGGAGCTGTTGAGCCATTTTATTTTAAAAAAAAGGAATGATCAGTACCAACAAAACACACAAAATAATGCAACTCTTGTTTTCAAGCAGTAACAATTGAGCAAATAATGTCTTGTTTATGCTGAACATTTTACACTGTAAATTGGGATGACGAGTTCAATCACAAAGCAAATTGCACTGGATCTCTGCTGCCAAGAGGACAATGAAGAGGTGGCATTCACAGTAAAATCCTGTGAAGCACTTTGAGACGTCCTCCCAAACATGAAAGGCAATGAACCGAATGCAAGGATTATTAATATTATTATTTTGGAGCAGAGATTCATATTATGAAGGGCATCAATAGATTCAATAGTTTTAAGTTCTTCTCTGCAATGGACCATCAGAAGTCTTTGAGCCTTGTAATAATAGCACTGAACAGCAATAAAAATCTAGCTCAATGATGAATTCTGTGCATATGTTAAATTGTGCATTTCAGTCCCCAAACAATATGATTAAGAGCTTGCAATATTAATCAGGTTTCCTCATTCTAATTACTTTACTACTGCAAACAATATCACTTTGATATTCATCTCATTTTAAAAAAAACATTCTCTGCCTTTAATTATTCCAGAAGAAATAAAGATAATGCAACAGGACTCACGTCTACTTGGTTTATGAGCCTTAATAATGTAGGAGAAATATTTCCCACTGAATAAGCATTTAATTAGATCTGCAACTCATGTTCCAATGGTCTTAAAATTTTATTTTATTTCTATGCTGTCAAATCATTCATATCCAATAAAACTAAGACTGCTTACTGGATAAACATGTTTTATTTATTTAACTGTGCCTTGGGATAAATACATGAATACAAAAAGCCTCGACCACAGTTTCATGTAAAGTATACTGCAGGATTGTTGTTTAGGAAAAAGTTTTGAACCAGTTTAAACTATGCATCTTCCTTCATTTCCTACCTGTGGGAATTTCCATAACATTGCCAGGTATGGTATTCCTCCATGAGGTCAATATGGTCCAGGGTTGAATTGTACAATTCCACAAATGGAATGATTGGAGGATTCGCCAAACTGTTAGCAGCATCTGGAGCAATGGGGGCCATTAAAATAATAAGGTCATTAACTCATCAATAAATGTACGAGAAAAATGTGAATATACTAAGAGAACTCAGCTCTGCGCGAACAGAATTAAGGTGTAAATCACAAGAATCATCCTTCCCAAATTATCCCAAGAAATTGATCAGTAATCCAGAAAATGTTTTGAATTTGGAACATGTGTTTAGCACTTGAAATGGAGTTGCTGTGGCTATTTTGGTAAAACTGCTGATACTACACACTAAAATACATACTTAAGGTTTTCATCACTCTTGATTTGTGGGATACATGCCCTCAGTTATCCAGTATGTAAAGCCACGACACTAAAGTAATCTACCAAGTACACTTTGCACAGCTTTGCAATTCATCTAGCTTTTCAGGAAATAGCATGTAGTACTAAACACTCACTGAGTAAAGCCAAGACTCTGGTTGCTGAAGGGATCCACCACGTGCACTTTGCCATGGGCGGCAGCTCATCTGGTTTTGGAGGAAACAGCCGTAGAGATACAAACTCCTGCAATCTGTCTACCAACTGCTTAAATCGCCTTGGAGATAATCTGATGAAACAGAAGTCAATCATGCTAGTTGTTAATGTCTTGGGAAATTTTTATGTTTTGAAAATCAGAGTTTGTCAGCTGATGATGTTTAAGAAAAAGAAAACGTATCCGCAAGGGTTTATTTTTAGAATGGCAGGAGCAGTCGCTATTCACAGGTAAAGTAGTCATTTCACAAAATTATTTTTGAGTTGGGGAGCAAGGAACCTTAACTCATATAGTACTGTATTTATTTCTGAAAGGAATATTTTTTTATTAGCAAGTGTGGTTATTTACCACAGTTAAGTAGGAATTTGTCAGTTCTTGACTCAACTATTAATATTAACAGTAATTGATCATAAAGGGATAGTCTCCCTCTGAGAAGGATATTCACCATCAGGCCTTTTGAAAGAGTAATTACAGTCAGTTGTCAATGGAGAAAAATCAATATCAATGAGGAAGAAATTAGTCTACCCCTGCCACAGCCCTAGAGAATCCAAACGAGAGTGCTTGTGAAACAACTTATTACAATCAGAATAAATACTTTCTGCTAATTAAGGAGTACAATAGTCATAAAGCTGAATAGTGCAATTAATACATTAATACACAAACACTAATTCTTTATACGACACATCTTAGTACACACAGTACTGTATTAACAAATTAGGAAGATATTTTACATCCTGCTTAATTGAACAGACAAATTCTTGGAATTCAGAGAGCCAATTAATGACAGGTGAAGCTTCATATGAGTCACTACGTATGATATTATTCAAAGGACGGTAGCAATGGCTTATGAACAGAAAGCAGTGCAGAACCATTTTTTTCTTTGATGAACTCAATAATCCAATAGCAGAACCATGGATGGAGTTTGACTTTTTCATTCGGAAGGTCAGTGGGGGTGGGGGGGAGGGTGGAGAGGGCTGAAATGAGAGATTTCTTATTTATTTTTCTGAAATTAAGTGCCGAAATCTAGTGAAGAGAAATATGGTCTTTAACTTGCCCCTTTGACTGTCTTGTAATTTAAAATTCCCACACAAATAACCAAGTGACCAATGGCAAGGGATCAGCTGGAAAATAAGCACAGAAATGGGTTTCCATATGCACTATAAGTCTGCCGATAGAATAACCTTCATTAGCACCCTTGTTATTGATGCATCCCTCTGAAATTTAGGAACAAATCATTGATGCTCATTAAGTACGTTATAATTTAGGTCCCTGTTAATATTTACTCTTTATAACCTCTTATCTGTGTAATAACAAACTCTTTCTTCAATCAAGTACTTCAGGGAAACTAGCCAAAAAAAAACATTTTACTTTTTAAACCAGTGGCCCAGGAAATGTTGATCCGTTTCAGACAAAGTGGCGATCTGCCGTAATAAATGGGCATAGATGACATACGTTGATGTGCTTCCAAACTGAGGATTCTGAAAAAAAAAGATACTTTAGCAGGGAAAACTACTTTCAGTTACCTCACAAGAAACACAATAATAATAATAATCCTTACATTTGATATAGCGCCTTATCATGTCTTCTGGACGCCTCAAAGTGTTTCACAGAATACACTGTAAAATGAAATGACTGTGTGTTTTGTCGGCGAAACCCGGCAGCCAATTGCACACAGCAGTGTCCCACAAACAGTCGTGGATTGAATATCCAAATAATTTTTTTTCAAGGGCTTATTACCCCCGGAAGGTGATCCGCCAATCAACTAACCATCGTAACAAATCTAACAAATCCTGTGATTAAGACAAACAGATTTAACATCTTTTGTATGGAAAATATTAAGAGCAGACTATTGTACAGCATGTTGCAATGGTAAATTGTTGCCAACTAGATAATACATTCAATAGCTTTATAATGGTAACAGCAGTTGATTGAAAGTGGTATATAGTTTTATTTCATGTGTACACTTAAGAAAACTGTATATTATCATATAAAACAGTTTTATACCTGCACAAGTATAAAATAAGCTCGAAGGTCATCTTTTGTTCGTGGCCTAGAAAAACAATAGCAACAGTATTTCAGTATAGATTTGAATGAAGAGAAAACACAAGACTTCAACTGATGGATTTTCCCTATAAGATCACCTGCAGATTCTACCCTGGAAAAGTATATTCCATTAAATATTCCATTATATTCCAGTTAGACAATTATCATCATAAGCTGTTTTCTATTGTAAATACACATTTTGTTAACTGCCAAATGTTAAAAGGGATTGGTTGACAAATGATTTGGAGATTGGCACAAGGTCAGATGTGTTCAACTAGCAGATGATATCAACATAGACGCAGTGTCCCAATGATGGCCATGTACAAATTCAGAAAGATCTGGAAAAGCTGGTTAAAGGGGAAGCAAGATTGTATCTTAATACGGAAAAATGCAAAATTCTGAGGTTCATCAGAAGAAAGTGATGCAAAAATAAGTACTGTATGGAAATGTTCTAAAAGTATCAGAAAAGATTGAGCACAAACATGTGTCTCGAACGTGGAAGCAATGCTAATGTGCGCATTGGTCAGTCTGGCTTTTAGTCCAAGTCTCAAATAAAATTGCTGTGCGCAAATTGGCTGCCAGACTCACCTACAAATACACAGTCACTCCACTTCACAGTAAATCCTGTGAAGCGCTCTGGAATGTCCTCCTATCATGAAGGCACTAAATTAAGTGCAAGGATAATTGTTGTTATTGTTATATTAGGGTAAGGTTGTTATTATATAAAAATAAACTATATTTTGAATTTAAGCATTGAGCTGATATTACAGGGCAATCCTATATTATAGAAAGACGACTCTGACTTCCATTTATTTAAGAACAATGAGAAATAATAAATTTATATAGATCTGATTTGCCACTGACCTTGAGGATTTGTAAGAAAGTACTTAGCAGAGCATTGTCAAGCACTGCAAACCTACAAAGTCTCATACTCTCAAGTATAATCCAAAACATTCCAATCCCAAAACTGATAAATTAAATGCTTTATCTGTAGAGAATCTGATAAAATATTGTATTAATAAAATGTAAAAAATTAATGTTACAATAATTTCCCATGATAAACATATTTTTATCTAAAAACTGAAAGCATTGTTTCATTAACATTCCTTACAAAATAACAGGTTGACTGTGGTTTACTTTGGGGACTGAGGGTAAGGCATAGACACAAGAATCTTACTTTTCTCAGGCCTTCTACGTTGTGCCCAAAGTGACAAAACAATTGATAATGTTTTTACAACAAATGATGTTTGTAAAGAAGCAAAGTCTGTAAAATGTGTACAATTTGAAGTTGATTTCCAAGGGGAGTTACATTTGTTTTAATTGACAATTCCTGTTCTTTTGGACTAGATTGTGGAGCTGGTTTGTGCTGGTGCTTTCTCGTCTTATTTAAAACATTGCTAATATCACAAGGTTGTGAGATTTATGCCTATTTTGTTATAATTTAATTTAAAAAATTAAACTAACCAGACAGCCAGAAGTGAAAACCTTGGCCATTTAGAAACATTAACCGGCTTTGTCCCAAAGTGTTTACAAAATGTAATTGGATATAAATGAAAGTACAGTTAATTGTGTAGTACAGTTAAATAGAAACACCAAAATCTTACCCTTTCCATTCCTTCAGCAGACTACTAATAATCCCTTTTAAGACAGTTTTCTGGATATCTTGAGGCTACAAACAATAAGATTCTGAGATTATATTTGTATATATGTATATGTACACATTTGGTTTTGAAAGATTAGCAACGATAAGATCCTCTGTGTGTTAGCTGATGGAATGGGTTAATTTTTATTCACAACCAATGGTCCTGGAAGAAAGATGCTCTTGCTCACCTTTTTGAACTTTTGGTTGCATTAAGGAAGTCTAAAATATTCACTTATAAGTATTGGAGTAATATATTACGCTGAAACGCCAATGTACAGATCGTGTAGTAGTGTGATATGTGTTATACCCATAGCCCTCACACTGCTGAGCTATTGCTGCTGTGAATAGAAAGGGAGAGGACAGACAGAGAGAGGGAGAATGCTGAGTGAGGGAGAGGGGAGTAATACTACAAACTGATTGAATACCTAGGAGAGACAAGGTTTTGTTTAAAAATAACAGTAGGATTTTCTTGTACTCCCAATGTTTGCTTAATGTTATACAGTGGCTTTCTGTACAATATCCTCAAGAATTTATTACTCTTCTGTTCCAAAAACTCATTCCAGTATTCACCTGACTATATCTGGTTAATATTATTTAAAAGATACTCACTGTGCTCAGCACTGTGTCGTACACACTGTTTGTATATTTTACATTAATTCCCGAATCTTCTATTGTGTTAAATGGTGTATTGACATCACGCTGTGAATATATGCAAGATGAAATAAAATATAAAGTTAGGGTTTAAACAAAAAGAATAATGACATATATTTACATATAGTATCAATACTGACATTGTAGTGCACATTAATTTTTTGACTTAAACTGAATAAAAATCAAACTCATTTATTTCCATAGAAATCAAAATAAAACCCACAAAACCCACCTTAGATTGTGTAGATCTAGCTATGAGTATCAAATTATCATATATTTTACGTTAAAATAGCGCATATCAATCAATTATTTTGCTTATATTATAAGTTTGGTATAAACTAAAATACTTCATTATACTGTTACTAATTCCCTCTTAAAAGCTAGTCTTGAGACTAAGTAGGTTATCCTATTCTTAACCCGACTGTGTATTCAACTATTTTTTCAGATGAACGAGCTAAACAGTTAGTACAATAAACGCCAGTAGGTTTTTATAATACTTCCTATGGGAGCCATAAATGAATCATGTTTCAGAAAGAAGCCATAAACTGCTTCATATGGTTTTCTTAGTCGACAGAAAGTCATATCAGAACTGGTTTAATAATTAGAGGCTACTTGAATACAAGCAAAAGAAAACTTTTAGAAGACAATTTGTAAATAAAAAATGCCCCTTCACTGTTTGCCTCAATAGAGCCAGAAAATATTACAAAAGGTTTGTTAAAAAAATCTAAAAAATTGTTTGCTTTATACCTTAAACACCACATTAACCTCCAAAAAGGAATCAAATGTTGTTGCATAAAAATCATGTACAATTTTCCAGTCTCCTGAAGTCTTGGCCTTTTCTACATCTTCTCTGCAATTCAAAAAAATTATGTTCAACAACAATAATAACAGCTTGCATCTACATAGCGCCCATGTGTCTATGTGTAGTAACAACTACACTGGTCATTAATTAACAACAACAAAATTACAATTGTATAGCGCCTTTCACATCAGGCGGGCATCCCAAAACATTTATATTGAAAACAAATTGTGCTTTATTTCTTGATTTGAAACATAGGATCTGGTTTGGCTTAGAGAGAGAGTAATAATCATGGAAAAAGAAATAGATAGTTGTCTAATAGGTCTGGAGATTTGAACTTTAATGCAATGCCAACTCAACTACAAATACACAATTAAAACACTACAGTAAATCCTTCAAAGTGTTTTAAGGTGTCCTCCCAATATGAAAGGTGTTATATGAAATACAATTATTATTATTATATTCAAAGATATGTTTTTACATCTTTTTTTAAATAAAAGAATATATTTTTATATACTAGAATTCCATCAGTGCTTTTGTCACCAAAATTTAGAAGAAATCCAGCATGTCCGAAGTATGAAATCATTTTATATTAAGAGAAAATATTTGCAGAGAGATATTGCTATTAGACTACCCTTGTCTTTTAAAATTAACAACATTATAAGTTGAAACCATAAACAGAATATAAGTTAATAAGCTCTTGATACTTACTGAAATTCCCTCAGAGTTTTGCTACGAATAGGAACTACAGGTTCAGGAGGAAGAGGGGCTTTCATTTCAGGGATCAAAGTCTCTATAGAGATGTGCTGCTTTTGACGTACATCTGGTTTAATAGGTGGTAGTTCGCGCACTGTAAGAATACAAAGAGCCAAATGTCACAACTGACTATCACTATGTCCTCAACAATGTAAAAAAGAAATGCCCCCTTTTCCCTGCACAGTATTCTTTGCTCATATTAAAAGGAATTGTGCATTGGACTTTGAATAACTATCTCCCACATTTCAGTATCATCCATAATCATAGAAACATAGAAATTGCTAGACGAAAAGATCCATCTAGTCTGCTTTCTACCGTCCTGGTCATTGCTTGCTCCAAGAATCAGCCACAATAATCTTTAACTGGGGTTAGACATCCTTATGTAAGTTATTTTCTATTTTCTCTTCCAATTTCCAAGTCTGGAAGTCAAATAGGAACAGGCCTATTAGACAGCAATTCCTAAATTAACACTGAAATACAATAAAACTGTTTGAACAGCCCTTTACTGTATTTTGAGTTAAATTTGCTTTGGCACTCAGCCCTCTCCCCATGTTTAAACATCTAAATTTGTATTTTTAAGTTGAACATTTATCAAAGTAGAAAATTATGATGTTTGTCAATGTATTCTCCCGCTGCTTTTCCAGTTAAGTTTCCCTTACAGCTGAAATATATCCCCAAGGATCTATCCATCGCTTTAGGCCAAGAGAGTTAAGTAGTCGGAACCACTGAGTTGTGGCTGACACAATATTGTCCCATTAACCCATATCTAACATAAGTGCTTCTGTTCACTTCAGCATAATCTGAAATACATGCGCTGCTACTTTAACAAAAATTAATTAACATTAAAAATGTAATAGCCATCCTATGTTAATGAGACAACAGGAAAAGGTTGACAAAAGTTACAGTGACTTTAGTGGAAAAGCTTGAATTTGTTAAAAAAAAATCATAATAATACGTACACTGTACGCTGCCATTTGCAGCACCGTCTTGGAATATTATAATGTCACGTCATTATGTGTTGCTAGGCAAAGGTAAACAAAACAACGATAAATGTGTTTCTTCGCTGTGGCTGGGTTTAATTTGTTCTGAAAACCCTGTTGCTGTGGTAACAAGGGGCACGGATTCACAGTAGTTGCTATGGATAGCTTCAGTAAGTGCAATCTTTTGTAAATGCAATGGGGATGAGACAAACACAGCACATTTGCATCTGAGAGAAAAGAGAATATGCACCCAATGTAATAATCATCGACATGATGAAGACTACATTGGGTATCACTAGGGAAATAGCAATCACATCAAAATCAGGGAAACCATAACATTTTATAATACTCTGCACGCTCAAATGCTCTGTTTAAAATAAATATTTTGGTAGAAAATATCGTGCAGAAAGTAGGTCAAATTCACGAATGGCAAAAAAGCACCGATTCCATTTAAGCTGCAATTTTATGCAATTTGGTAAAAAGACCTTAGAAAACAGTGAACTTAAATTAAACAGTAAAAAGAACCAAAAATATGTTTGACATTATTCATGAAGTATTATCTCTTCAATTACTGAAGAATTAATTTGTGCATTGTACTGATACTGTATGTGGGAAGAAACTACTTCTTTAACAAATATATTTTCAGAAAGACTTGTTAAGATGTGAGTTCAGATAGGATTTAAGCAGCATCTTATATAATGAAGCTTTTGAAATCTGTAGAGCTCAGCAATACTGAAGCCAGTTGAGAAAAGATCCTACTCAGGTGGAATGTTTGCACAATGAACAACAGTATCGTGTGCACAGCTGTATGCAATAGACATTTCACTCAGAGAAAATGATAGAAAATCATTTAACACATAAAGCAGTACAACCCTCTAACTGACAATGAAGTAGTTTTGTTGAAAAATGCACAAACATTTGCATGTAAAACAGCTACTGTTTTAATTTATCCTATGAAATAGCAAATAGATAATCGATATTATCAGTCCTCCCTAATATTTGTGAAGTGCTTTGAGACATCCTCCTGACCCGAAAAGCACTATATAAATATAAATTGTACTATGTATTGGTTCAAACAGTAGAATGATTTGAAGTAGGATACTTGATTTTATGACTTTTAATAGAGGGGCAAAAGAGAATTCTAACCACGTGCCTAGTTATGCATGTGCATAGCTCTCCCAACCAGCCATAATAACTACTGTATAATAATAACTTGGTGACAATTAAAACACAATTTTCGAATGGAGTAACAGCCTATTTAAATTATTTTCCAATCAAATGTCAGTCAATTAACACCAAGGGTCTTCGTAGCGATCGGGTGCTATTTGACCTGGAAATCAGATCCAAGGTCAAAAAGCTCAGTATAAACCAGACATAAAACATATTTAACAAGCATACATTTCAGATATTCTTTCTATATATTTACGAATTCTCTTCTCAACTAAAACTGATGCAACACAATAGATCCAAATAAAATCTATGGTGAATATATTCTGATCACTCAGATTACTACTGAAGATCTCAGCATACCACTGTGCCAATAATATGGTCTTCACCTTAAACATTTTTTACATCCCAACAATTAAGTCAGAAGCAGAGAAGGCATCATACGCATTCAAGTATTTGCGTGATATGAATGAACATTAGCTCTCTATGTTGCTGTGGCAACTGCAATGCACAGGACGTACTTACTAACAGTTGAATAAAATACCTACCTCAGCATCGAAACTGACCTCTTAAATGGAGCATAAAATAGCTTCAGTTATGAGCAGATTTCATAAGTGGCAGTCAGGAGGAAAACCAATCTTTGAAACAGCCTAATTCAGTTTGTTATCCCAATTTTAGTGCAATTCTCAAGTATAGAAGTGCTACAGATCATTATTCACTTGAATATATATAAAATATGAGCACTCTTGTCATTCAGAGAAAATTAGACAATGATATTGAAAGCAAAACTCCAGGTATAGAATCCTTGCTCACAGGTAATCCTTTTGAAAGCAATTTTTTTAGATGCTATAACTATATAATTAAACTGCTTCAAATGTGTTCAAATTACATGTAACTTCTCAGTTCTCCTTCATTTGCAAATAGCTGTTTCTTTAATTAAGCAGGTTAACCTCAACACTCCAGTGCAATTCTGGTAGGTGACATCTTGTCGCCCGTGTCCTACTTTGAATGACATGTTAAACAGAGGACTTGTCAAACAAATCAAACTAAGGCAAATTTTGTAATGTACGAAAATAAAATAATAATCCTTACATTTCACGTCAGAAGGCATGTCTCAAAATGCTTCACAGGATTTACTGTAATGTGTACTGACTGTATTTGTAGGCAAAACTGGAGTATGAACGATACCTGTGAACGCTATCTAGAGATCCAGTTTACAGTGTCGTCATAACCCCAGTTTTTCTTTGTATGAAGAAAAAAGGGCTAAACACCTTCAGGAGACAGGGGAGTAAAACTTTTAATGGAAAATGTGCTCCTTAACACCAAAAAAAATAAAACTAAGGGCAGGATATCTTCTAAACCTCTAAGACAACAATATTCAGATGGAAAGATGAAATGGAGAAAGTAATTGGGGGGGTTTTAAGGAAAGTGGTCAAATACAACAACAACAACTTGGATTTATATAGTGCCCTCCATGCCGGACGGCGTCCCAGAGTGCCCCACAGGAACGGATCCCGGGGCCGAGCCAGGGGAAGGGGTAGGAAGGTGACCAAAGGCGCGGTCGAAAAGAAAGGTCTTCAGCAGAGACCTGAAAATGGGAAGGGAGGGAGTGAGACGAAGGGAGTGAAGAAGGCAGTTCCAGAACCTTGGGGCATAGTGGCTGAAGGCACGGCCGCCGAGGGTGGAGCGGAGGACTCGGGGGACGAGGAGGAGGCCAGACCCGGAGGAATGAAGGCAACGGGTACTGTTTTGAGGAGTGAGGAGGTCAGAGAGGTTGGGGGATGCAGAGGAGTGTAGGGACTTGAATACAAAGGTGAGGATCTTGAAATCGATCTTCTCTGGGATAGGCAGCCAATGCAGTCTGGCAAGGACTGGGGCGATCGGGGAGCGGACTTTCGTGCGGGTGAGAATGCGGGCGGCAGAGTTTTGAATGGTTTGGATTTTATGGAAAGTAGTGGATGGGAGACCGGCGAGGAGGGCGTTGGAGTAGTCCAGCCGGGAGGTGATAAAGGCAAATAAAGTCTAAAATTGAATAGTTTTAAATTCTGTTAAACAAGAGGCAAAAGTAAGGTATGAACGCTGAATTGCTGTGCTGTGCTGTGCGAGATGCTGATATACAATTACCAACAACAACAACTTGCAGTTATAAAGCACACTACACGATATAAATGAAATTATATAGAAATTAAAAGGGCTTACCATGCTTGGCATCAGGTAATACAAGCTGTGTGGTGGAGCTGTGGTGGCCCAAACCATCCCGCTTCTGGTGTATTGTGGCGATAAAACTGTTGATGCTGAGAATTGGAAACTGAACCTTGGGCCCTCTTTCACTTCCCTGCAACAAGACAAGCAAAAACAGGCTGGTTTAAAAGCATTCAATCATATTGTGACAATTGTTATTTTGTTGTGTTAGTAACTTTGATAACATAGAGAGCTGGTTACATTTCAAATTCAGTAAGCAGCTCCTACTTCATGTATAAAGGTCTTCTATTTCACATCAGAGTGCACCAAGTGCTTTTTTTTCCATCAAAGTGCATTATTACATGTAATGTGATTTTATAGCATTCAGTGTTATCATATGTTAGCAGATTACAGCCTTCTAAGAATATTAATCAGCATTACCTTTAACTGTGGTTAAATCAAACAGCTGCATGGGTAAAATCCTGATTTATTTTCTATTTTTAACACTTATTATTTTGTTCCCACCTGCATGTCATGCACCATTACCTGCTGTGAAACTTGTTTTACAGAAGATTTTTAGCACACTAGATGAATAAGCAATGGTAACTTTAAACTGTGTACATTATAAAAACAGTAGATGACAAGGGTAAGAGTAAACCTAGTATGATTTCAGAATTCACTGGTATATACTGTGAAGCACTGTGAGATATCTTGAAGACATGATAAGGTGCTATATCAAATGCAAGGATTATTATTATTTTCCTGAACCATCAGAGCTTTACCGTTATGGTTTCTGATAGATAAACATTGAAACAATTAGAAACTAGAACTGAAACACACTGGAAATCATCACACTGAGAGAATAACTTCTCTAAAGCTATTCATTTTATATTTTCATTATCTTCCAATTATAATTAACTATAATACAATCTAAAACCTTTTAATCCTTAACTGCCCATTCACACAAAGTAAAACTAACACCGGAACTGAACCTTAGTTTTAAAATATGTCATCAAAATTGGCAGACATAGTGTTGGGAATTTTGCTTAAATTTAGTTAAAAACACGACAAGGAGGGTGGCTTGGGGGTGGGAGAGAAGAGAAACCAAGGGTTTAAAGTCCACAAAATATACAACTAGCAAAACTCTCATAATTGTTAATTGTAAGTGGGAAAAAAAGCAGAGCAAAGGAAAAAGAATAATTTTAAAATATGAACAATAAATAAATACCCGATAATTGCTCATTGAGTTTAAGATGAAAATATTAACAATGTTTTACTTTGGTTTACAAGCACATGAAATACACACTCAATTGTAATTTCTTCCTTGAGAAATGTGCTACAATGTCCTGAGATACATTGTAATATTCTTGTTCCACCATTTGTTTTTGAAAAATTTCAGGGTTGAGAAAATATGAAAGCGGCTGTAAGAGATCAGTATTGAGGTTAAAGGGTAGTCCTTCTACACTACTGATAACTTTCTCAAGTTAAAAAAGGTAGAGAACAGTAGACAAGAGAAAACAGCCACAAGAAAGGCTGTTTTAAATAGGATTCAGGAAAATACTAAATCAACAGATTATGTCAGCGAAATAAGGGATACTTATCAGAACCAACACAAAAGAGAAACCAGCTATGACGCATGTAAAAGTACTCATTGTTGCCAGTTTCTAATCCCTAAGGCAACAGTAAATGAAGTGTTTTATTAATAAAGCCATACCTCACTCTGAATGTCTGAAACTAGAATCTAAATAAAATTCCACATTTCGCTCGGCATATTTCATGTGAGCAACATTTCTCTTTCAAACGTTTTTAAACAAAAAAAAGTTTTACCCCTGACAACCAACAAGTTTTCATGAGTCTTTCATTTTAAAAGTGGCAAAAGTGGTAATAGTTGATATATCTGCCCACCAGATAGTGCTGATTAAATTTGATAAATATTGTTCCAAATGAACACCACTGAAAGCAAGTAAAAGATTGTCAGAACCATGAAATACCATGATTTCAATCATCCAATTCTTCAGCAAAAATACTTCCACACACAGGAGCAGTATCTGACTTGAGATTTAAACGCAACTTAAAACAAAAATATGACCAACTAATGACTATCCTAGGGGTGGGGGGCGGGAGGAGTGGGCGGAGGGTGGTAATATAAGTGGGATTTCTGAGTGGAACTGGCTCCCAGATGACATGTTTGACAAAAGAATGTCAGAATCGAACCAACCCTCTGTGGTGGTCTCACGAGTCCAGTTCCTGAGCCAGGTGGGTCTGCTGCACTCCAGGGCACAGCACAGCCAGCCTGGCTCATTGGCAGGACCATTCACTGGGGACAGGAAATCTTCCCACCCAGCGTCTGTTAACCATGCAAGCCAACATCCTAATGGATAGGGTAGTCCTAGCTGAACAAGCAGTGTGAAAGCTTGCCAGACAGCATGTTTTTGTATGTGTCAGACCCAGCTGACCCAATAAATTAAAAAGACTCCAAATGTCATATTTTTTACCTTGGAAACTGATGGACAAGAAGATAAAAAATAGTCAACTTTTCATTGATCAAACACTTGGCTTATAATAAACGTTAGAGTGGCTATTTGGCTATTTGTTGAAATACAGGGTTCACTGTAGCCAAGTGTGCTGTTAATTTGGTTTGCTACAATGCCTTGGGACGTGATTTAAAGTTCAATGTACAATTACAAAGATGAAACAAGAATATATTTAGAAAATAAAGGGAGTTATTTTCATATAATACTTATAATATGGGACGTCCTCCTGACGTGAAAGGCGCTTTATAAATGGAATCTTGTTGTTGTTGTTGTTGTAATACTTTTCCATCTATCTTGGCAAGTAAAATGATTTTAAAATGGCCTATGTTATAGGAATAATAGCATAATTTCTCCTCCAGCGTAAGTTTTTCAGACTTCTAACATTCAGTGGGCAGTTGCTGAGTCAACATCAGCTGCAAAACCCATCTGTGAACTACCTCATTGGAAATAACATGGATCAGGATCCTTTCTGATTCCTCATGCTTGAGATTCAGAGCATAAACAGGGCTCGGTGCTGCTGAAGTTTTTGGCTTGAATGCTTTCACCATTTTGTCATCTAAAAATCTGAGCTAAGAATCTAACTAAGGTATAATCATCCGGCTGTGTGTTTTTCCATAATATTGGAAACCAGGGGCAATGGCATTCATACGAGTAATAATAGAAAAATAATCATTTTGTATTTCTTGTGTTTGGAAAATATGCTTTACCATCACCACTATTATGAAGCAGATTTGTTCCCTTGGCTGATATAATTGTAAGTCTACTCCAATGTTTGCAGGAATTTCCAGAGCGAAGGCAATATAGGGCTTCATGTTGGAATTAAGTAAATACAAATATTTTGAAAACTAATGCTTTTTATAAAAAAAAGCCAACAAGCATAAATTATGGCTAGGTACTCCATATATGGAACAAAGTGTTTATACTTTGTTTTGGTGATAAATTACAATGTAAGTTGGTAATTTTTGTAAACATAGAAAATGACTAGTCAACATTTGGACCTGGGTGTAAACAATACTTCTAATTAGCCTCGATCCAAAGAACATCAGTGCTATAAATGAAGCCGCAGTAAATCCGAGAGGGAGAGTTAACAGGGTTGACCTGCATATTTCACATACAATTAAGTCCCATCTCATACTAGCTTTCATTTGTGGTTTGACACAAATAGTCTTCATTAGGCTTGAAAAATGTGCTTCTAGGGTAATTTGTTTTTAAATAAGCAGAAGAAAATATGAGCAGTATATGGAGTACACCAACAGGACTGCAAAAAAGATTTTTTTTAAAAAAATTAAAAAATCAAAACTAATGGGGATAAAACAGATTAAGCCTTATGGTAATAGTGCAAGCAAAAGCAAACAAAATAATAATTGCATGGATCGCTGAAGCTTTTTTTAAAAATATAAAAAAATGCAAAGCTGCATATTGTCACTGTGACAAAAGTTATAATAATAATCCTTGCATTTGATTATGAGTCAAGGAGAGATGGATATATGGCATTAATACAAAGCTTTCAGCACATTGATGATAAACCGATAATTAAATTAAGATCAGACAGAATAATTAGATTTGATGTTAATAGGCTCTATGTTACACCTATTATTTGTTACCCGCTTGTATACAATTTTGTCATTCATTTTATAAGCTACTATTTTATCAGTACGTTGCAAAAAGGTGTCTGTCACCCAATTGGACACCTAATTGCATTGTACATGGAATATTTTCCCTCCGTTTGTTGAAGGCTCATTTCCTGCTTCCAAAAATACCTACCTGAATTGCTGTCGCTGACAAGTGTGGATTTGGCGAGGCATTCACTATTGGTGGAAGCTTTTGTTTCACTTTATTACCCTCTTGAGCCGGATGTGGAGATTTTGAAGGCTCTTCATTCATTTTAGCAACTGGACGTGCATAGATGAGCAGTCAACAAAGAACAAGACCACAAGCTCCAGCTGCTGACGTATCTAGAGGTGAAAGACCAAGTTCGAAGAAGTCATTCTCAAAAGATGACCCATTATGTGCTCTTACTGTAGAGCCAGCAGCACTGTTATATAATAATAATAATAATAATAATAAAGGAGTCCTGTAGCATATTGGTTAGCGCACTCTCCATGCAAGTGAGAGGACCTGGGTTTAATTCCCGGGTGGGGCAAAACCTTAGGCAAGATTTCACATGCTTTTGTTTACCTACCAGTAAGTAGGAATCTGGTTGTTAGTCGATTGGGGATCACTTTTCCGGGAATAATATGCACTTACATTTTTAAAAAAACTATATAATTTGATCACTCAATCCACGGCAGTTTGTGGGACACTGATGTGCGCAATTGGCTGCCGCATTTCACCCACAAAATATACAGTCAACTCACTTGACAGTGTACTCTGTGGAGCGCTTTGAGACGTCTCGAAGACGGTTGTCTTCACACTGTTCACATCCTGAAGTCTTTCGCCCATTAAGAAATGGCAATATCTCTGGGTGAGCCGCTCACTTCGGGAGTGACCATCGCATCAGTGTCAATCCGGCAAAAAGGCATCACTCTGCCCTTTGCCACCTTCTAAGCAACGGAAGCAACAACAACAACAACAACAGCTTCTATTCGCCTGTAAGCAGAAGAAAGCGAGCAGCTTGTCTTAGAGTCAGTCACTCGAGTGAAGACGCGCACACACAGACGTTCCCCAACCAAACCCAAGTAACGCGTCCGCTCCCCTTAGAAAACGACGCAGGTGTTCACACACACACACACACACACACACCTGGCAGGGACTGCGGGGTCCGCAGTCAGAGAGAGAGATGCAGCGCAGGAGCTTTGCGCCTTGTTGCTGACCGCCTCTGGGACGCACGCAATTTCCTGGTGTGTATTTGCTGCTCTGCGCTGCGCTGCGCTGGGACTCGGGGCCACAGCCACAGCGCCGCAGCGCCGCCTCTCTCACTGTGAGCTGCTGCTGCCCCCACTCAGGTGCGAGTGTGCAAAGAGGATTGCAACACACACCGCGTCGGGGAGGAGTGTGTGTGTGTGGGTGTGGGGGGGGGCGGGGGGGGGCAGTCAATGATGCCGTGACCACAAGAGGATTTAACATAGACGCGCAGTAAAAACAACAGAGGAACTCCCGATAACTGGGGGTCGCAGGAATGCAAAGCGCAGAATGTCAGCAGTAAAATTGTTGAGCAATTGACTGACATTGTCTGCAACTCCATTTACTCAGACTCTGGATCCAGAGTCGGCTTCAGTGACAGAGGGTCCAGTCTGGGATTTGGAGAGAAAAAAAACACTCTAATTCCACTGGGAATGTCTCTCACAGAGAAGAATTCTGAGCAAAATCTTACTTTTTAATTTGAAGATGTACATTGGCTTGAATTTAAATTTCTCAGTGGGATTTTTGACTTAATTAAACGATGAAGATATCACATGATTTTTACAGGAATTATCAGAGGTCCTCTGATGGCAGATGTTCAGCTGATGGGGGCTCTCTGGTCTGGGGGTGGCAGAGATGGTAGGAAGGCAGGAATTGAATCATAGAAGTGATGTATAAGGCAGAAGCGAGGAAAACGATTCAAAAATGTTTTAGATTTATTTGAACATCATTTTGTTATTTTTCAATGCAATGCGCAATGCCACAGTGCAAATTCCTGATGTCGCAAAAAATTATAATCCTGTCAACTGGATTTATTTCAGGGTCACCGTCATGTGGCGGCTTGTAAATGTGCAGAAAATGGTTAATATAACCAAAACAATAATATGATCGGCTTGCTTTCAGCGCCTTGGGATGTCCTCCCGACGTGAAAGGCGCTCTATAAATGGAATCTTGTTGTTGTTGTTTACAGACCTCTCTGTGTCTCTCGTTGCTAAATTATTTCCGAGTTCCTCCAGACTTTAAGCTTCCAGCTTTTAGTAACCATTGGTACTCAGAAGCTCACGAATACCAATATTTTATACGTGCCCCCGAATGACCCTCTGCACTTATCTCCCTAACATTGCCTGTTAATTTCCTGCAACAAAATTCCTTCAAGACCACCAGTATGTTTGAAAACTCTGCAGCCTTCAAATCCTGGTCTATGATTCACCCTCACCTGCACATGCTGCCGAATCCATCCATTGGAATATTTTTTTGGTCACTTACCTGCTTTCAGATTTTGTCTTTTTACTTTCACACAGTTTTCAAATAATGTAGTATAATAATAATAATAATCACATTTGATATTGATCCATTCACGTCGGGAGGATGTCTCAATGCACTTCATACAGTATACTTCAAAGTGTAGTGACTGTGTACTATATAGGAGACACGACAGCATGTTGGGTGGGGCGAGTGAAATGTAAGGATGGTTGTTGGACAGGTCTACCCGATCAGCCGTGTCCTAGAGATTATTGTATGTTAATCTTTCATTGATGTTCAATTTTCATTGATGCCACTGTCAAAACAATGGTAAGGACAAACCAACGAATTGAATGAATGGAGCTTAGGCTACAGCAAAACTTAGGGTTTACTTTTTAAAAACTAGATTGTCACCTCTCTAACTCAGTGAGACTGTACACAATCACTCAAATAACATTCATGAAAGTTGACTAAAGATGGTATAAGGGGGTAGAACACAATGAACACATTCCCCCCCCCATTTCTGACATTGACACCCAGAGAATAGAAAGCGATCAATAATTTCACTGCTAATTCCATCCCCAATTACTCAACTCCGTGTTTCGGTAGTAAAATTTTGCCAGTAGCAAAATTATTTTACTTGATTAACTTGCCCTTTGCTGGAATTACCACAAGATTAAAAGGAGTCAGTCAAAAAAATGTAGCAGCACATTTACCACCTGCAGGAATTTGTGAGTCAGAACAATTCACATGGAGGAGCTGTGTGTATGAGAAGGCAGGAATCAAATGATAGGTTCAGATCACATCATAAATCATAAGAGTGCAGCTTGAGCTGCTTATATTTATGAACAGAATCCTAGATGGGGTTGGATAACAGTCTCTAACTCAGAGACTGGCAGTTATCCAATATTTTTGATAATATTGAAAGGCCGGTGACTTTTATTTTATATTTTTGACAAATAGTAATGATGAGTAGCTAGTTCAGTATCACATGTCTTCAGTTAAGTAGTGCCAATGGACTACGGGTGCAAAGCTATTTTTGATTATGCTTTTATATGTAATCATTATCTTGTATGTCATTTACGTGAAACCCAGGTCTCTCGCTTGCGAAGCGAGTTCTCTAACCACTGAGCTACATCACTCTACTGTAGGTTTAAACTTATAATTTAAAACAAACCAAAATGAGATTAAAATCCCCCCCCACACACACACACACAAACTCCACAATATGTATGACACATAGTGAGTTGAATCTGCATATTCAAGTGAGAGTTTTAAAAAAACTCACAAGGATTCCCAATTATTTTGTTAGTTTAGTATAGAATGATGTAGGATTATTTATGCCGGTGGTGGAGGGGATCTTTGTGACTATCCTGATGGATCACAATGGTCTTTTCCTGTCCTGTTAATTCCTACATTCCTATGTGTGGATATTGAATGAGGACAGCATCAGGCTCAGCTATGATGCTCCCTTCATGGATGAGTAGCTGTGACATGGCTATGAACATTCACACATGAAAAATGGTAATTTGGCAAGGAACCAGATGGACACTATTGCCTGTGAAACCATACAATAGCATAAGTCAGCATCTTCAGCAAAAGAGGGAAAACTGAATTAAGGAAAAAAATACTTCCGTTTTTAATGATGTTATCTGAAGCTCCTTGATAAATTTGTTACTTTTAACCATTCTACATGTAAAAACTCCGTTATTTATTGTTTCCCGTATTCTGTGTTACTGATTTCATAATCATAGTTGCTAATCTCACAAATTATATCATATAATTATATAATATACACAAAATATACAGTCAATTTACTTTGCAGTACATTCTGTGAAGTGCTTTGAGATGTCTCAATGACATGAAATATGCGCTATATCAAATGCAAGGATTATTTATTATTTATAATTTTTAAAAAATCTCTGATATAAACAGTTTGCCAATTATTCCAAAATAAACAAAATATTAGAAAAGAATTGTAATAGGTATATTGAATATTTATTTAGCTGGTTTAGAAAGGAATAAAGCATTTTTGCGAAAAGATAAAAGGAAGATTATTTGGGGAGGACCAGTAGACTGTGAAATGCTTTGTTTGAACTCAATATAGTGCTCACTCACATCCACAAAGCAGGAACAGCTTTAAAGAGATCATGCTTTCAATTAATTTGATCTGAAGAGGAATGTATCATGTTCTCCCGATGTGAAAGGTGCTTTATAAATGTAATTTGTTGTTGTTGTTAATCCAAACAGTTAATCTTCAGAATCCTAAATGTAGTCTGAAAAGGAATAAGTTATCCAAACTGTTTTGTTTTAATTCAAGGCACCAATGCAAGAAGTAAGAGATTTGTAAGAATTCAGATTAATTACAGTTATTGCCTCTACTCTATGGTCAGATTGTAGATTGCAACAACCCATGTTGTCATGGTTGCGTATCTTCATTGATTGGAATTTATGTGTACCCATTAATTCTCCACTACAGCTCTCTCGTTCAAAGACACAAAGGTTCATTTTTGGTTTTACGAAGCATTTAAATCCATCAACATTTGGAAAAGAGTATTTTACCTGGAGGTTTGTGGTTCTGCCTCCATATTTCTGCCGTCTTTTCCTGTCTTTTCCTATGTGTGGAAAGAACATAGTTGTTGGTTGGATGTTCTGGTTTGTGCTTAAACTCAGCGTCTTCTGAATCTGTGGATGATTTCTTTTTCAGAAAACTAAACTCCACTTTCCATACTATGGTATTTTGTTATTCATAACATTGTGCGAGACACTTGTACATGAACATGATAATGTCAGAAGAGGAGTGGGAGAAAACATATGCTTTGTTGGATAAGGTCAACAGGCAGGGCGAAACCTTGGGCAAGTTTCCTTACTCCACACGCCTAATAATAATCCCTCCAAAAAAAACAAAAAACAATAATAAATTGGTCATTTTCAATCTACGACTGTTTGTGGGACATTGCTGTGCGCAATTGGCTGCCGCGTTCGCCCACAAATATACAGTCAATTCACTTTACAGTGTGTTCTGTGAAGCACTTTGGGATGTCCTCCTGACGTGAAAAGCGCTATATCAAATGCAAGGATTATTATTATTATTATATTATAACGTGTGTCGTTGTTTGTACAAATTTCAATAAAAACCTTTAATTCTTTCTGAGACTCTGAGCAATTCTAACATGATACTTTTGTTGTTTTGTTCTGTTTTGTCTGAGCCGGCCATAACCCTGAAAATAAATATACCCTGAAAAAATGAATTATTTCAATATTTTATATCTTTAATCATATGCTTAGCTGTT